GATAGTATTGCTGTGCCTCTTTGCCCCAGGCGGTGTTGCTGCCTCATACTTGCAGGGTGAGGGCTGCAAAGTGGGTGCCAAGGTTGCCTTCCACTCTTCTCCACACCATGAGTGCCTGCAGGCCTTTCTGCAGGGTGGGAACCACCAGGATTATGAGTGTTTGCTTGTGTCCTTGGTAGCAAAAGTTTGTTTGCAATGAAAGTGGAATTCTTCCCACTGCAAGCAACGTGCCTCTTGAGCACTGCTTTGCTGTTTAACCAGTGAGATGGATTTTGCAAATAAGCTGGAGGAGGAAGTAGTTGCACTTTATGCTTACATTTTTGTGGTTTGTTTCTGTTGTTTTCCTTTAACAAAACTGAGCTTCTTTTTATACATCAGTCATTTTTATTGTACTGTCTTTTTGCTTGTTGTCACATCTGCCTCATTTTGCTGTTTATTAGACACACATTAGATATTCACTGGCTTTCAAAATCAATCACTGGCATCCTTGAGATTTCATAGCAACAAATTGTACTACAGAGAGAGAAAGAGGGAGAAGGAGTGTTGCACTGGAATAATGTCAGTAATACCAGGTATTTCTGTGAGATGGCAACTGGTTTTTTTTGCAGTTTTCGGTCTCCTGCAAACAAGAAAGGTGTGCTCAGACTTCATATCAAACAGCACTTGGTAGTGCTTGGTAGGGTAAGTGAATGTGCATGTTAACTGTTCTGTGCTGCCTCTTGACCTCTGGTGAGGGAGGTTGTGCCACCTCAGAAGCCTTGCCACAAGCTTCTATGATTTGGACTGAGAAGATGCTTTCTGTATGGTCTATTTCTTGGAATGGCACTTAGAAACTCTGTGAGCCCAGAAAGGTATCAGGTTTAGTCAAGGCTGGATACTGAGCATTTGATAGTTAGAATAAACCAAAAAACCCTAACATGCCACAGATAGAATAGGCTAAATAACATAAAATTTTTCTATATCTGGTGTATGAATACTTTAGTTCCTCAAGCCAGATCTGAGGTCACAGATCAGTGAAGGACAAAGAGCTGATCTGTTTTATGCTCCTGTTTGCCTGGAATACTTGCTTATACCTAAAGCTTAGAGAGGGTCTGATAGATACCCTCTTCTGTCAGGTAGTACAGCTCTTCTAGAGTAGCCTAATTTTAGTGAGACATTAATGAAACATTTTTAGACTCCGTGGTTTTTTTGTTTGTTTGTGGTTTTTTGGTCCATACTCATAAGAATTGTTTTGATTCTTTGATGTCCTAATAAAATCCTATGTGTTTTTAAATGTGTGACAGACACTCAACCAATTGACATAGTTTACTTTTTTGTATCAAAATTTTGAGCAAGTCTTGCATAACTGTGAGCCACAAGAGCTGATATTCTGTCACAGAACAATTGCCCCAGTCCGGACCTCCAGCTGTTGTCCATGTCCTACAGGTCATGAGTTACAGCTACCTACCTGGTATGGATGTCCCTGACACACTAATTGCATCACACATGGAACAAGAAACTTTGCATTTCAGCAGTATTTGTAGGATATTTATGGCATCTTTGTGGCTTGCTGGTGCAGCCTGTAGGGTTTTGGCCATCCAATTATGTTCTGTGCAGCAGAAGATTGTGTCTGCTGGGTGTTAACTTGTCAGTAAGGATGCACAGCTTCCACTCCAGTTTACTGGAGATGTCGGAGAACCAGATGCATGTTCTTGGTATTTAAGTATGTGTAGTGTGGATAAGTGTGTCATGGCCAGCTATATTCTAGCTTCATCCGTGGTTTGAATTATATATTGGCAAAGACAACCCGAAGGTATCCACTGCAACAATTGCACAGCTTCTCCTTTTTGGCACCAATTTATCCAAGTACAGAATAACCACAGAAGGTGACTATCAAATATGGCAAGCAAAGAGGAAAAATGTCAAATCAGCATTTAGTGAGGAAGATGAAGAAGATGTGATGAAACAAATCCTAATGGAACCGGTAATGCCACTATGGAAGGCTATCTGGTAACAGCACTGAATTTCAGTACTTCTGATCAAGTAACAACGAAATAATTCAGTTGCCCAGGAGCTGATGCTCCATTTTTCAGTACCCTGGTGCCAAGAGAGTTTCTATATTGATGGAGCACCTTTGTTTAACTGGAAAGAGAATGGAATCTGACATTAGTTGTGGTTACTATACTGACATCTTTAATGAATTTATTTTTATGTTTGTGTGGGCAAGAGAAAAAATTTATTATATAGCCTAAAATGCTGAAGGCAGTCTTCAAAAAACCTCCCATATACTAAGGGAAATGAGATTTTTAGATGTGGTATTTTGCTGTTACTGTGCTGCAGTGCCCATTGTTTTCTTCAACTAGCAGAGGAGAGTCTGCAGAGCAAGGCTGGAAAGGAGTTCTTTAGAGTATTCCTTTGTGCATCACATGAGAGTCCACCCTGGTTAACCTAGACATTAGGGATGGGATTCAACAGTATCTATTTGCATAATGACATACGAAAATACATGCCATGTCAGAAGACTCTTTTCAAAAAAGCTTTTGCAGTGACTGTTGTGAGATACTCTTAATATTTTCTTACAGCTCTAGTGTTTACTCCGTCAGGGTGCAGTTTGACACAGCTGGATCCCAGCTCATGCCTTGCTGATAACTGAAAGAGATTTGTTTTTACTTCAGGAACCATCATGTCACTTGCAGGACAGTGCATGCAGCAGTGTGTCAACTGTAATTCTGTAGTGCCAGAGACAGTACTTGTACACAGCTAAAAAGGGCCTGTCGAGATAGACAGGGAGTAATGGTTGCAAACTGGAGGGTCAATTTAGGTTAGATATAGAAGGAATTTTTTTACAAAGATGGTGGTAAAACACTGGAACATGTTTCCCAGAGAAGTGGTGGATGTCCCTTCCTTGGAAACATTCCAGGTCAGGCTGGACAGGGCTCTGAGCGATGTAGGCTAATTGAAGATGTCCCTCCTTGCAGTGGGGTTGGATGAAGTGACTTTTAAAGGTTCCGCCCAACACAGACCCAAACTAGCAACAATTTCGTTGCTAGTTTGAATGTATTTTTCTTTCAGCAAGCCAGCTCCTGTGGCTTTTCTTTTCCTCCTTTTATCGTGTTTCCGACCATACATCGCTATCTGGCATATTCTGCAGCCGAAACCGCTTCTCTGCACAGTCAGGCAGCGGCTGGTCCCGACTCCTAGACGCTTGGGAAACGAGCGTCTCCCAAAGGCCCTGCACAGACTGCGGTGCCCAAGGACACTCAGGTCAACGTTGCCATCTACTGGGACTCTGCCGGAGCTGCCTGCAGCTGGAAATACTGTCTTCTGCTGCTCCCGATCTGGGGCCGGAAAGTGTGCGGATTATGAATGGTGGGTGCATGCCAGCAGCTGAACATCACAAGCCCTCCTCCAAGGCTGTTTTAAGACGAGTTTAGAGAAAAGAGGCTTCCAAAAACTGGGGAAGGAAACAGATTCTTGGACTAAATCTACTGTTGCCTTCTCCTTTCCCCAGGAAAAAAACCATCACTGCTGTGGGCATTTGCTCAAGAGGATACAACTGGCCTGTACTTTACAATAATAGTATTCTGTACAAGATGGTTTTGCTCATATTCATTCCTCTGTCCCCTATATGTCTCAATGTTCAATTTATCCGACCCATACTTGCATCAAATAGAAGTGTTGGTATGTTTGTGCTCCTAAGAGGTCCATAGCATTCTGAGGAAAATTAAGCATTGTCTCCTTTGTTTCATTAATTAATTTCCTTTTACTATATAATGCAGGTAAATTTCTTAGGTGTATATCAATGATTAGACTGTCTCTTCTGTTTTAAAGATGAATACAATGAAACAAGTAGGTGAAATGACATTTCAAAGGACTTACTATTTTAATAGTTTCAAGTTGCTAAATGGCTTGATCTCCTTTAGCTTTTCCTTTTATTTTCCATCTATCCAGGATGGATATATATATATATGTATATGTGTGTGTGTGTGTGTATGTGTGTATAAGATGAAAAATGAACTTAAAAAAAACAAAAAAAAAATCTGCAAAGTGTAACTTAGTCAGACTTCTTTCTCCCATCCCCTCAAGTACCAGCTTAAAATATAAAAGGATCTCTACAGGCACAGAAATGCTATTTATACTCCCAGGAGTTGCTGAATAAGGAAGTTCAAAAGCAGATTAATCAGATCTCAATGCCTGATTTTAGCGTCAAACAAAATCTTGAACAGCAAAAGAAGAAAAAGGTGTGAAGTTGAGGGGCAGGAGGATGTTGGGAAGAGGGGGATAGCCAATATTTATTTATTATGAAATACTTTGAATTACAAGAAGAATTTTTTTTCAGAAAGATTTTATTTGTATTTTCTCTGAGAGCTTCCTTGATGCAGGAAATTATTTTCTTTCCCTGGTTCAGCTAAAATAGACCACTTGGTAGTGTGGGGTATTATTAAGGTGCAACTTCAGCATAGATGCATTATTACTATTATAATGCATTAATTGATTCAAAAATTCATTTGTTATAATAGTAATCCACAGGTTTAAAAGAAGAAAATAATGACTGTACAAAAATCACAATAAAGCAAAATAAATCAGGTGTAAGGAAGACTGTTTGCAATATAACTACAAGAGTAATTCTTTTTTCCAATGATAGGTGCAAAGAAACCTGAGATATTAAAACCAGTTTTCTAGTTATATAATCACTGAAAAAAACACCAAAAACCTAGTAAGATGTATGATTTTTCCTGTTTTCTTGGTTTACTTTGGTTTAGGAAGAAATTCTGAAATAAATAATATAAACAAAATAAGGTTTTTTAGTAACAAACAGAATTAAATTGCTGTCCTCAGAAACTGCAGACAATCCAGCCAATCTCCAAACAGTTTTTATAGCTTGCAATTCACCAAATGCCAGTTGTGGTGGAAATCTCCTTCCTGTCTGTCACTCAGGTTGCTAACAATGACATCCCTTTATGGACTCTTACCCTTTGCAGTTGATTTTTTTTTTTTTTTTTTTTTTCCCTCAGGAGAAGAAAAAGCCTAACAAAACCTTCATGGGAGAAGCATGCCATGTTTTCAGGAAGCACTGGGGAACAATCCTGCCTGGAGTGAAATAACATATTTATTTTGCTGACTTGCCAATCCCCAAAATCCCTGTGGAGATTTGTAGAGGTTTTGTAGGTTTGGTCTGTCAGCTTGGCTGTACAACAGATTTGTTAAAGGGTAAGAATTCTCTCCCATATTTGAATTCAAGATTTGCTCCTTATGGTGTTATTTTGTTTAGCTATGGATTTCCACATGCTGTCTTAGTCTGTTACTGCCCAGCTTGCGATTCTGTTTTTACACAATGTTGCTAAGCGGTGCCCTGTTGCTCCTTAACAAAGCTTACCCGGGGGTATCCTTGCTTTTTACACTATTTATTCCTCCAGCAGGATCAGTAAAGACATAAATGTGTTGGTCTCTGGAACAGACGCCACAAATCAGTCTAGCACTTCTTTCTGATTTTAATGGAGATGAGCTGCTTGTTGTAATTTCTTGAATCTCTCATTTAGGATGTAGAGAGACCATAAATCTTAAAGCAACAAACATTCCCAAATCCCACACTTTGAAGTGAATGGGAGCTCCTGGGTCATCAGCACTTTTCAGAAATAAGCTGCTTAACTAGGTGCTGAAGTCATTACATCTTTACTTTTTTTCTTTACGAAAACTTTGGTCTCAATATTTGAGGGAATATACAACAAAAAGTTTGCACAGTGTGAGCAGTGCTTCCCTGAACAGTCTCAGACAAAGTTGTTGGATACTGTAGCATCCAAACTCAGCACTCCTGAATGCCAAGCCAAGAGTTTGGCTCGAAGATTACATTACATTTATTATTAGATTTTGTTTGGTGTGAAGGATTTGGGGTTTTTTTTGCTTTCATAGTTATTAAAAAACCCAAAACAAAACCAACTCAAATATCAGTCTTGTAGTGATTTTATAAAATTAGTTGGGTTATTGTTTGTTTGTTTGGGTTTCTTTAAATTTATTCTATCAGTGCTTTTCATTCCCTATTTTACATCTTCTCTTTTGAAAACTTACTAGTCCTTGACTGTGGTGTGGAATAGTCTAAACAACTGCTATAAATATCTGCTAAAATATGTTTCTCTGCAGAGTATAACATAGCTAAATGTATGCAACATATTATTATGTTCTTATTCTTGCTTCCTCATTTTTGTCTTTAGTTGAAAATTCAGGTTAACTCCATAGTCTCTATAGATGAATGAGTTAATCAAGCTGTGTGCTGTTACTTGAATTGGAGACTATTTTTAAAGAACAAGTACATTTTTTCCATAAACTATGTAGGCAACATACTGAAACAGATTAAAAACCAGACCAATTTCTGAAAAATGCTTGCAAGTCAGTTAGGAAAGGAGGGGAAGAAATATGAAAGTAGTATTGCTTATCATCTATTAATGGATCATATCTTGGCACAAGTGTTTATATTTCACCTCAGGGTAAACTTTTCAGCCTGTTGGCTTACTTTTGAGGGCTGACTCATCCTGGCAGCAGCCTTCAGCAGCCTGGCTTGTTGGAGTAGGCCATGTGGTATGTGACTCATGTTTTAATGGCACAGGACCACTTCTGTGACAGCACTATTGTGGTGATCTCAATGATCTCATTGCGGGCAGGTGCTCCTATTTTGTATTGGGGGTTATTCTGAATCATCTTGTATTATTATCTGTGTGCTCACAGTAGCACAGGAGTTTGCGGGCCTCACAGGTGCCCAAGCACTGCAAAGAAGTAGATAAGAGCTGAACTACCCTAGCGGAGGAGGTAAGGGGCATTCACTGCACTGGAAGTGTGGTGCTCTGCTATTGCTTGTAACCCTGAAGCACTGTTTGTGTGTTGGGCCTTCGACAGGCTGCAGTAGGGCTGCAAGCAGTCTGAGTTCCCCCCTTTGTATCTGCACATTCCAGACCTTTATTAAGTGGAGGCCCTACGCTGGAGAAGCCTGTTCCTGCCAGGGCCCCATGCTGAAGCAGTTCATGAAGAATTGCAGCCCATGAGAAGGACTCACCAGGGAGGAGTTAATGGAGGACTGTCTCCTGAGGAGGGGATCCATGCTGGAGCAGGGACGTGTGAGGAGCCCTCCCATTAAGGAGGAAGAATTGGAAGAAGCAACATGTGATGAACTGACCAGGAGTAAAGTTAAGCCCAGGAAGACAAGGTGGGTGGGGAAAATGTGTTCTTAAGATTTGGTCCTATTTGCCATTATCCTACTCTGATCTGATTGGTAAGAAAAGTAAACTCATTTCCCCAAATCAAGCCTGTTTTTCTGTGATAGTGGGAGAATTGAAAAATCAAAGGAAAGAGTCAATATAGGGCAAGATAGATAAAATTCATCACCTCTCACTGGAAGCCTTACAGAGTCAGTAAAACATGGTTAACATCTGTGGGAAGTAGTAAGACAATTAAATAGAGTTAGGATTTGGTTTTCTATTTGAATGTTAGATTGAAATGTAAATGTTTGTCACAGCAAAAAATTACATTTGTGAGTTTCACTTGTCCACTATTCCCACAAGGGAAAAATATACTTCCATGATGCAGGTGAAACTGAGATTGTTGTTGTAAACCTAAATAGCCCAGATCAAATAAACTAAGTCATTACATCTTGGGGTTCTCTCTCTTTCTCTCTCTTTCTCTCTCTCTCTCTCTCTCTCTCTCTTTTCTTCCTCTTTCTCTTTCTTGTTTAAATTTATCCTAGAAAGAACAATACAGTTGTCAGTACTTCTTCTAGACCCTTTAAAATTCTTCTTCTAAACTTTTTCTGGTGAAAAAGTGTGGGGTTTTGTCAGGGCAGTTAGCAAACTTGCATTGTCTTAAGGTGCTATGAAGAGAATTTGCCACAGTTAGTTTCCTTGCAGACCTTGTCACATTGACCTCAGGGTAAATCTCATCTTCCGAAAAGTAATGGTTTGTTATTATCTTGGGGTGGGCCCAGTATGTGGTTAATGCTGAGAGAGTTCTGAGCAGCAACAAGATGAGGGTGAAGACGGCTTGCTTAGGTGTTAAAACTGGTGAAAGGCAGCAGAGCTGGACTCAGGTTGTGGCTAGTGATGGTAGAATACACACAGTGTCCCAGAGGAGCTGTCACAAATTTCCACAATGGTTGAATTGTTGCAGCCACTGTGATATTTGGGACTCTGACAGCAGAGACCAAAATTAACTTGTGTTTGCACTGAAATGCTATCATTTCAGTTTTGACTACAGGGCTGGCCATCACCTACAGATCATGTGTGTTTCCTAATTGTTCAAGTATTTTGGACCCCTCCCAAAAGGCTTTCAGTGGATTTTGTTACCCTCACATGACCTTTAACAGCTGCCACATATCAGAACTTGAACTGAGCCTGTCAAGGTTGATGTGAATGTTTGGTAAGAAATGAGAAGAAAGCTGGCTTGATTTTACACATGTGGGAAGCTCCTAGGCAGAGGGTCATAAATGCTCTGGTTTCAAAGATAGTGCTTGAGCCAGGAAGACAAAATGGAGCATTTCTGAATAGCACCCAGAGGGCTGCAGAAGATCTGCCCAAGGGCTACAGGCACACGTGCCCTTCACATCTCACAGCCTGCACTACAGAATGTGGCCAGCAGTGCATTTATATGTGTTTTGTGTGTTATACCATTTATATCTCTGTGCAGCCTGCATAACAACACCACAGAATGAGCTCTGGTTTATGGTTTGTGCGCTTTGTGAACTTTTAAATGTTCCTCTTTTGACCCTGGCTTTTTAAATCCTGCAGCTATGAAACCAAAGTAGATTTTGCAAGAGGTAATAGCAGTTACTTGACTTGTCGCTATTCTTTCAGTGTCACTGTAACCAGATACACAAACATCAAGGCACGGCCTTCAAGACACTGTGGAGGTCCCCTAGACCTCCTCCCTCTGCAAGAGAAGCTGGTGCCTGAAGCTCTGAGCCTTTCTATTTTTCTAGCAAAAATAACAGCCTAACTTTGCACAACATTTTAATTTGAACTTGTAATTAAAAAATATGTTGCTTGATTGACCTTCTGTGAGAGAGGGAAATAAATCTCCTGCTTAAGACAGCTATTATATCTGGTGCCACATATCAGATTGTCTCTACAGGTCCCTGTCAAAGCAGAGTTGTAGGCTTATTAGCATCCTGTTAATATGTGCATAAAATGTAGTCTGTGTCTGAGCCCAAATACACAAGTTGGGAAATCAAAGAGAAATCCTTCACACCTTTTTCTGGCTTCATCCTGAACTTTTATTTAGCTTAAAACAACTTCCTTAAGAGAATTTCCTCTTCTAAAGGAAACACCTTTCTCCATACTTAGCAGGGGAATACTGCATTGAATTATTTTTGGAGTGACACAGTCACTATTGGGAGAGAATTTCTTTAATCATGACATATGAATCTTAATTTTATCTTGTGTAAAGTATCAATCAATTTGAAAAGTATTGACCCATCTGTGCCTTTTTTTCTTTATAGGTAAAAGTTAGGGAAATGTTGAGCAGAGAGTATTTTCACCTGTATTTTATCAAAATCTTACTAAGAAAGTGCTACAAAAGCTGCTCTGCATTACAAGTTTTGTTCTATTTATACAAACAATTGTAGCATACTTGAGTACTTTAGGGCTTTATTAACTACAAAATTACCTCTAAAGCTCGGGTCAGTTCCATACTGACTTGGATATTGCAGTGGAAAAGCCTTGTCTTTAACAGTAATTGTAATTTAGAATTCCATCTGTTTAGCTTATGTTGGTAAGCAATGAATTTAGACTGAATTAACATGAGTTACACTAAACTGAAATAAAATGTTTGTAAAAGTTTAAAATTCAGTGTTTAGTTTAAGCAAGAGCTGTGAGTTGCAGGTGGGGAAGGAATAGGATAGATCCTTGTATGCACTCTTTTGTCTGGTGCCTTGTCTCAAATGTGCCTCACGAGCTGTTAGGAATTGTTAAAAAAAACTTAGGTGATTCTGTTAAGGCTTGAGGGCTAAGAGAACCTTCTTTTGGTAATGGAGGCTGAAGTGCTTTGAAAATCAAACCAGCTACTTACATTCTTTAAATAAATCTAATGTTATTTACATTATTTCAATAAATCTAATGTAACACTTCAGTTTCCAATAGCTTTATGTTGTTCAAACTGTCAAAAGCCTATTTTTATATTTTGTTCTTAGAGATTTTTTTCCAAAGTATTTTTTCTCTTTATTCTCCTGACCTGCAGCTGCCAGTGAAAGTGGTTCCTGAATTGGGTGCAGTTACTGTCCTGCAGAACCAGTAGCCTCCAGGCAAGCTCTTCCCACACTCACGTGCCAATAGGCATGGAAAATTGCTGTATCCAATTACTAAGTTGTCATAACAATTTGTAAAAGTATGCTAATGCTTCTTTTTACAGGAGTGGCTCGCACATTATTGCTCGGGGCTTCCACAGCATTATTTCCCATTATATGTTATGTCAAATGTCACATGTGTGACTGGAAAATGCAGACCTCCTCTACCTGGGCCTGCACACACAAGATGGTGAACTTTTGTAGCCTTGTCCACTGTGTCGTGTGGGCCTCAAAGCCTAAAAAGAAACAACAGTTCAAATTCTCTTCTAGTATCTTGAATTTGTTTAAGTTGTATGTTTTCCACAGTGAGTGATATACATGGATTTCATATAAGTATGGAAATTAAATTAGATTTTAAAATAAAAACAATTTCTTTTCTGCCCAAGATCTACCTGTGAGGGAGACTACGGTTTTAGAAATGAATAGCTCAACTTTTTTGTTTTAAAAGCCTGTAGATGTCTAATTTCACTCATGTTCATTTGCAGGCATGTTTGCATGGCTATAGTGCGCCCTGGAGTGTTTTGGGTATACAGCAGGAAAACAGCGGTGGTGATGAAAATAAGCATATTTAATTAAGTGACCATGGCTGCTGACAAACTTTAAATTGGCTTTATGCCAACCATTTTAAACTGGAAGTACTGAGATACATTAAAATATTACTATTAATGTTTATGTAGCAAAAGTCTTTAGAGCTAATTACCTCAGACCTACTTTGAGCCTCCAGCTGCTCTCCTTTGGCACTTGGAGGCTCCCATGATGAAGTGGGGCTAAGGTTGGATGGATGGACATGCTTTGCCTTGTGTGTGCCAGCTGCCAGTGGGTGTTTTGGTCCACAGCTCCATACTGAGTGGGTGCTGAGTCCTGAGAACTGACTTTCATTCTGCAGGTTCAGCCTCCTCTGTTCAGTGCTGTGCTAATGCAGATGTGGACAGGGATGTGCTCCTAGATTCTGCTGTTTAATTAATGTTTCCATAATGCATCGTATGAGGTGTGAAACTCCTGGTCCTCTGGAGTCATTTGTACTGATGAAGTCTGTAAAACTTAAAACCTTTAGCTTGGGCATGAAGTTCATTGATATATTAACAGATAATCACTCATTTTTAATCTCAACAGCTATTTATTTTGAGAAAAAAAATAAAGATAACATAAGACTGCAGGCTTGGCTATGAGAGACTATTAAAAAATGAAAGTGTGTAGGACTAAAGGATGGTAATTTTGGAATTTTTCTCAGGTGCTTTCTTCAGAAGAACAGAATTTAGAGAATGTTGAAGAGGAAGAAGGGAAAAGTAGGAAGCAGGAGAAACTGAGAGCTGGATTCTCATCTAACGGAGGACCTGCATCTATTTCTCTGTTGGATGTAACAGGTAGTACAAGAAAACCCCCCCTAAAGTACTTCTGCAGTGAAGTAATGCACCAAGAGACATGCTTTGATGCTTCAAATTTACCACCTCTATGAACTCAAATCTCACAGCTGCTCCGTGTGGGAATGGATATATGAGATGGGTTATGGAAAGTGGAAGCAAGCGGGTGTATCCAGCAGAGCCACTGCTTTGCTCCTCTCCCTGCCTGCAGAAGGCTAGGCTTTCGTTGCCTGTGAGCTAGCGTAGCTGCAGACTGGGGCTGTAAAACTGTGGTGTGTGACCTGATGATCTCCATGGTGTCTCCTGGTATTTCTGTTTTACGGTCCTTTCACACGTCCCCAGCCTTCCCAGTGCTTGCATGACTGGAATGCAGCACCAGACTCCATGAGAAGACAGGTGAAATGGTTGTAAAGTAACTTGGAAATGAAAGCTTTTGCTCCCCTCCTCACCCATTTTGGATTTCCATGGGATTGTTAGCATGACAGGGTTATAGTTATATTTGAAGGAGCACAAGATGTGAATCACTGTATGTAGGCTGGTGTTTCAGTTGTGACTGTGACAGTTGCTTTTCAACATTTGAATATCAATATAGCACTGGTAGATATCTGTGAATCTTTTCAAGATGTTGGCCACAGCAATGCAGAGAAAGGCATATCTCACGTCTACGTTTAACTTGATTTCTAGCATTGGGCTCTGACTTCTATAATTTAGAGCCACTTTTAATCATAATGTCATTTAGTCATGTCTTTATGCTTTCTACCCATTTTGTAAATAATTGGCATGAGAAGGGAAAATCCTAAAGGAGGTGACAGTAGAAAATAAACAGAGAAAAACAGTAAATGCAATCTCTGCCCCTTTCTCTCCTTATTTCTGAGTTTAGTTTATTTAGGGCATGTGAAGTAGCACATAGTTTTTTTCATGCAGGGAGAAACTGTGACTGAAGATTTTATATGTTACTAGTACAAGCCTGAATTTTTCAATTTCTTTAAGACTTAGCCTTGCAAGAATGCCAGGTGTGAATCTCATCCAAGCATTAAATATTTTCCCCTATTTAATGTGACCATTAGTGGTTTAAAAGAACTTGTGAACTGTACCCAGTTGTCCTGAGCAGGTTTTTCTTCTGAGATATTTGCCTGTGTGGAATGACCTGCATTTATAGGCAGTAAATGCTAACACACAGTTAGCTGGCTTGGAGAAAAGAAATGGTGCCACTGGTTCCAATAGCGCAGGAGACACCATTGAGAGACACTACTGATGAGAGGTGTTCTTACTGTTTGCATGGATGCTGTGCAAAACATGAGTAGAACCTTGAACTGCTAAAGAATAGCACATGTGGAAAAACTATTGTCTCTAACTGACACTGCAGTGTCAGGTGAATGGAAGCAGTGAGTTAAACAAGTTCCTTCTCTGGGTTAAGTTTAATTTCTGATCTCAGGAGTGATGACATGTTCCCACCTTTCCTCTTTGGCAGCACTGACAGATCTGTCCTTTACTTGGTAACAAGCTCCCACTAAATGTTTCAAGTGTTTTTGTGTATCTCTGTCATATTTAAATAGCTAACAGGTTCGAAACAGACAATTTCTTAATATTCAAATAGTGAACCTCATTTTCTTGGGAAAATAGAACAGCATTATTTCTTTACAAAAATACTTGAAACTTCCACAAATCTCTGACTATAATAAGATATAGTGATCTACAGTTTGAATGAGAGCATAAGATGGTTTTGTTTACATGAGACATTTAAATTTTGACTTACTTTGTAAGCCCAATATAATGGGAATTTTCACAAGTGTGTGAATCTTTATAATCCTCCCTAATCTTGTATCATGGGATTCCTCTCAATATTAGCTGCTAAAAGTTAAGTATCTCTCCTAAGGGAGTAATCTAGGAAGTAATTCCTCACCCTCCCCCAGCAGATACCATGCCAGGGATTCATCTCACCTGTTTTACTCACCTATCCTAGAATGGGATGAATGGCAATCTGGAGACACTTATCTCTCTTACTTGACAACAGAAGGAGCCTAGATGACTGGCTTGGACAAGCCACCTGATTTCTAGGTGGTTGTAGAGCAGGGGCACTACCTCTTTTGGCCTTAGAGTATACTATGCAGTTTTCAGAGATATATTGTTAGTGCTGAAAGGGTTGAAAATATATGTGCACTCAGTTTTGCAAATAACACCTTTCTATTAGCTGGTCTTTTGTGTATGGATTCATGTGCACTTAGATGATTAGTATTTAGTTGTGTTATTTTCTGTCCCAAATTTCTTTCTGAGAAGTATCAAGGCAAAACTGAAATGTGTGCATGCAGATAAGTTACAGAGGCACAACTGCTCGCTCCTCAGAGAGGAACAGGGAAGCTCTCATAATGGGTGAAACTCCCCAGTCAGTGTGGTACCTGGGAAAGGCCAGTCTAGACTAACCTCAAATGGAACAAAAAACCCAACTCTGAAAATTCTGTAAATGTCCACAATAGCTGTGGTCTTTGAGCTGTGCCGGAGAATGTTTGAGTTCACATGTATTCATGGAGCAGCACATCAGCAGAGTCCACTCAGTCCAGTTCTTTGATAGGTCTAGCTGTGGAAATAGGCAAGCTGGTTTGCCTTCCTGTACTCAGGCTTCCTCACATGTTGTTTTTCTGTATTGCTGAGGAATATCAGTGCCTGGATTGTTTCATTCACTTCTGTCACACAGTGCTCCTGTCCCAGCATGCCAGGGAACAGTGATGTAGAGCCTTCAGCACTTGGTTTCCTTCTGAACCAAGAGTATTCAGACAGGTATTGAATTTTTCTACCTTTGTGGCCACATGGTCTCCTTGAAGTGCAGAGCCACTGAGCAGCAGCAGTGAGAAGTCAGGACTGCTGCAGTCCTCAGTGGTTCCTAGACACTTCCTATGACATGAGCACCAGACAGGTGAGCTCTAGGTACACACAAGGACTGTGGCTTGTTTGTCAATGATTTTTCTGGATTCTATGCTGCCTGTATCTGGGCATGATAAGGGCACTTCTGTACCACATACCTGTATGGCAGTACCAAGACACAAGGTTCAATGTATATATTTGGTTGTTCTTCAAAATTCATTGGATAAGTGTTCTGGGAATTCCGTTGCAGAGTTTATCCCTCTGTCACAGATGATTTTCAGTGCTGTTTGTGGGGGCTGTTGCATACAGAGGCTGCACAGCTCTGTCATGCTGCTGCAGGAGCAGCAGTTGGCAGCTTCACTGAGAACTGTCAGCAGAGACAGTGGAGGGAGCAAAGAGTTGAGTAACTGGGCACACCTTTGCCCAAAGACAGTGGGGATTTAACATCTAGTGCAAGTGGAAAGTAAACTACTCATTTGCTGTTGTTTGCTTTGATTTTTTTTTTTTTCAAACAGAAAAAATCAGTGGAAAAAATTAAGGAAAACCAAAGACAAACATGGAGAGCTCTGAATTAGTACAATTTTAGTCTGCTTTTCTTGTTGTATTGTAATGCCAAAACCATCAAGAAACTCTCAAGCTTCACCTGGTGATGTTTTGGTTAACTTGCATTTGGCAGTGGTGATAGAAACAGAAATGGCACAGGAGAGCACCCTGGCTGTGGCTGGTTGTAAGACAAATGTTGATTTAGTGGAGTCAAATGGGTTGTTTCACCCATATTGTTTTATATCATGACATTCACTAAGAAGATCTCTCAGTTCTCTGGGCTGAACTCTGACTTTCTTCTGTATTTTGCAGTGCTATAATGCCATGAAAGTACTTTTTCATTTCAGAAAACCAGTGACAAGCTGGTAAAATATTGATTTGGGAGATTGTAACCTGCTTTGTTATTTTCTATTTTACAATCTCAATGTAAAGGTGAGAATCTTAGTTTGTGTCATATTTCAATAAAACTCTGTGCTCCCTAAGGGAAGAAGTAAGGCATGATCTATGAGTGACTTTAAAAGGCTTGGGTAATTTATTGAGGTTTTTGGATAAGAGATGCAAAATATTTTACAGTTGATATAACGATCTCAAAACTGTATATATTTTGTTAAATGGTTTTAGCTAAAGTAGAATATATTTTCTACTCCTTTTTAATTCTTGCAAACTTTGACTTACTTTTGAGAGCAATGTGCTTTTCACTCTGTTTAACTGGAAAATTTCTGATTTGAAAAAATAATGTCCTTGTTGCAAAAATCTGAGAATTCACACATTTTTTTCTCAGTAAGCCCATTTGCCTGACATCAGCCATTGTGTTATGCATTCTCCTCCAAGAGAGAAGTTGAAAAGGAGTAAGAGAGAGACAAAGAAGAAAAGGATCACAGTATCTCAATTTTATTTTCTTTCCTGAAGAGTATTCTCTTTGGACAGACAGTAATTGTAGTTTCTAATGAAACAAACATGAAGGGAAACAGAAGACAACTACAAACAGGTTTATGGGCCTATCAGCAGGAATATGTGGCTACAAATTGTAGAGTAAATGAAACAGCCTGTTGTTTCCTAAGCCTGAGTTTGTGAGTGTTATGCCAAAGTATTTGAGGAGGAGCTAGAGCACCAGGCGGTGTAAAGGATACCTGCTGAGCCCTAATTGGTGCCCACTGTTGTTAATGGCTTCCTGTGGCTGAGTGTTTACTTGTCATTTGTTTTGTGCTTTGTTTCCCAGCTACTAGAAGGGGAAAAAAATACTGACCAAAACTTTATTTTACTTTTAAGTGAACATCCTAGGACATCAACTGCCCCACTGCAAATTGTCTCATACTTCAGACTGTTCCTTAGTCCTCTTAGGCTTCTAAAGTTACATTTTCTTTGAATATCGTTTTTGAATTTGAAAAGTCAGCAGATTTTTTCAAGATATATTATTTATATATATTATAAAATAAATTATGTATTATATGCAATATGTATTTCTGATATGCGAAAATTATGCAATAACCACATCTGGGACTTTTGCCTACTACAAGGCTTTGCATGGTTGAACATTTGAAAAATACTACAGATAACACTGGTTTATTTATAAGCATCTGTTTTCTTAAAATGCCCATTTA